GTTTAAAAATTACCCCCAGTTTTAAAGGGGCCTTAGGGGGTCTTTCCCCAAACCCCTTTTTGGTCTTGGGGGGCAACCCCCAGGGTTTTTTCCCCGGGGGGGGGGCCGTTTTCTTTTGTTTTTTTTTGGGGGTGGGGGGCAAAAAAATTTTTTGTGGTTTTTTTTTTTTCGGGGGTCCCGGGCGCGAGTTTGGGTCCCAAGGGGGGTTTTTGGGGGGTTTGGGAAGGAGAATGGGGGAACTTAAAAAGGGGGGAGGCCCGAATTTTTGGGGGGGTTGACAAAAAAGGGGGAAAAAAAAGGGGGGTCCCGGAGGACCAAATTTGGACTGAAATGGGGAAGGAGGGAAAGGGGGGGGGTCCCACCAATAGGTTAAAATGTGGGGGGGGGGGAAGGCATGCGGCTCCCCCCCCTTTTTTGGGGGGGGGAGGTGGAAAAACCCCCCCGGGGGGGGTGGTTTCCCCCCCCCCCCCCCCCCCCCCCCCTCGGCCTTGTTTGCCATCGGGGTTTGGGTTTTCGTCGCTTGGCAACGACGTTGTAAAACAAGCCGCCCCCCCCCGTGTTTGCCATCGGGGTTGGGTTTTCGTCGCTTGGCAACGACGTTGTAAAACAAGCCAATTCACTTCGTGAACTCGGCAACCAGGTTACCGGGTTTTTTTTACCTCGTTTTTTTTTTTGGCGGTAACCATAATGGTGGTCGAGTAGATCATGTTGTGAGGGGTGGAGAACCCTCACTCCGCTCAAGGGGGATGATCGCACCACGTTGTATTAAAATGGTCAAGCATCCTCGAGGCAGTTACACAGTGCTTACAACTGTCTCTGGAAGTGAAAGCAACAGAAAATAAATTAAGTCATACGTAGCTGTCATCCGTACGCAAGGAAGTAAGCACAAGATGCCGAACACCCTTAGCAGGATGCAGCTCACCCTTCATGCGACTCGCCAAATACCTCACGGCGCTTCGCGCTTGGTGATGTGAGAGCCTGGTCCGGTGAGAACCCGGCGTGCTCCGTCCCGGCTTTGTAGGGGTGCGAGGTCATTGGTCTAACGACTACGGCATGCACGACTATGAGAACACCCCCCCCCCCCCCCCCCCAAACGCCTTTGCTGACCACCCACCCAATAAATGGTAATTTTCCCCGGGCGACTCGTTTAAAACCCGTTTTAAACTCTGTACCAATTGTGGTTG